GGGGGGGGAACAAGGCAGCGCGTACGCAAGTGCGCCACCGACTGAAGACAGGCGGCGTGCGACTGCTTGTTTGCGTGTCAGCGTGCTGGGCTCTGGTTCTATCTCGTCAAAGTAAACCCACGCTTCCGCGCAGCCCCCGACGGCAATTGCTCCTGCAATGGCTCCTCCACAAGTCAAGCTTCGGGCGCAGACATCAGTCAAGGCTAGGCGCGGGTTTTTGGAACTGACGGCGTCTGGTGGGACGATGGGTGCGCCGACAGAGGCCCGCGAGCCAACCGTCTCGATGAATGACAGGTCAGAGACAAGCAACAAGAAACGGGTTGTTCCGCCGCCCTTTGTCGGTTCCTAGTCAGCCGCTAAACCCATGGCCGTCGTCATCGCGTCGTGATGATCCCCGTTGTGGCTTTTGAGAAGCGAGAAGGGACCGGCCACGCAAACAACGTTGCTGGGGCCAAGGGATGTGGATGGAGAAGATCAAAAGCGCCAATCTTGGCCGTTCCAAGCCCCGAATCCAATCCAGCCACGCCTTTTCACTCCACCAAATTTCGTGCACCCAATCCTCGCCGGCAGGGCTAGCAAGCAAGCTTTGTCATATCGATTGGCAAAAACAAAAGAAAGAAACGGAGAAAACATCCAACGGTGTTCTAGACCCACGGGTGCACCCTTCTGTACCCGCACCTGAAGAAGAAGAAAACGGGAAATCGGAAGCGGGAAAATCTGGGAAGATCGTCGGCGTCACCACGAGAAACAAGAAAGAAAAAGCAAGGACGAGCCCTGCTAGCGACACGCAGCGGACTGCTCCAGTGGCACGGCTGCAACACCGCAATCCCATGCAGGAGACGAGCGACCCACACACAGCTTCGTGTGGTTGATTCGATGCTTGTCTCATTTTCCCTTCTCATCGAGTTCCTGCGAGCCTGCTTGCGGAATAGTGTTCACCCTGCGGCGAATGGGGCTGCTGCAGACGGCTGCAGGCTGGCAGCTGGCAGCCGAACGGACGAGACAGTGGCCGGCGAGACAGGGCAGTGGGCGGCAGTCTGCGTCCTGTGCTCAGGCGACAGCGATGCGTGTGGGCTCGATCCTCCCCCTGGGAGAAAGCCTGCAACAACTGCCTGCTACCCTGCCATGCGCACTGGCCATGGATCGAGCGAGAGTGTGGGTGGGTGGATGAGTGACAGTGGGTGTGGTGTGAGCCAGGTTCAGCGCGGTTGAGACCATTGCGGAGACCAGCCCAAAATCTCACTGATCAGCGACATTGTCTTTTTTTTTAACAACAAAAAAAAAAAACGCACACATGGTACACACCCGTCGGGGGGAGTCGATGGCAGTGATGGCATCGCCTTCGTCCTGTACTCATGTTATCATGTTCTGGAACCGAACCTGCTCGACGCCGACCTTGTCCTCTTTCAGGCAAGAACTGATGGGTGCTGGCGCCCCTGGCCGCCCAGTACCTACCTGCGCAAGGGCCCATTTCTCCAGTCGCACACCCGGGAGCAGCCCTGTCGGCCTCCTGCAGCTTCAGTGCCCGCCTCCCGCATCGGCCCTTTCTCGCCCAAACTCGAGAACCACTGCCTGTTTACACAGGGGGCAGGGAAGCCGGCGAGGGCGACAGGGCGGCCTAGGAAACCCATGCTTGCCAGAAAGCGCAGCCCGCGGGCGTGCCTGCAGGCGTCGTGGCTTGGGACGCGGCATTTGGAGGAACATGGGTTACTCGAGTGAGAAGCGGCCAGTAATGTCCAAAAAAAGTAAAAACCTGCCAAAGTGTGTTCTTGGCCGTTCCGTGTTCTTTTGCTGTCCGAACAAAGGTGAGGATATAAAGCCACGCTAGCGGACGACACACAGATACGGCCTAGGTATGCACCCATGTAGATGAAAATGCAGTGGGACGGTAGACATTCCCGTGCCGTGGCCAGGCAGCGGGCAGAAGCATATGGGGTTTGTGCTGCAGCCCGTCCTGCCTTTACCAGCTGGGGGGTTTTTTTTCTTTGCGTGTCTCTCTCGCCGGGGGTGGGAAGTAGATGCAGGTGTGGGTGCTGGCCCGGCTGGCGCGTTTCAAAACGACGCCGACTAGCGCAGGCAGTTTGCAGCGGTCTCGACGCTGTGTGGACGGAGAGGAAGGTGCCACGGAACCACACTCGACTAGTGTCGAGGGCGTGCATTCGAACCTAGCAGTCGACGAGGGCTGTCCAATAATTGCTTTTTATTCCATCTTGCGAACGCCCGCTTTCCGTCCTTGACCAGAAGGGTATCTGGCCGTAAGGTCTTCCGTCGGCTCGGAACTCGTCGTTGCTCCGTCGCCGAAGAGACCCCTGTATCTTCTGCCAGCTGCCGTCGACGACCGTTAAGAAGAGCCTTGTGTAAGCAGCCGATGACCCCTCGCCGGGCCTCATAATGGGGTGCTACGGCATGGTTTGTGAGTGTGATTGGGGGCGTTTAGACTGCTTGGCTCCGCCGCACGGTGCTTGCTTTCGCTGACCGACAGTCCCTCCAGCCCGGTGCGGTTAGCATCGATCGTCGGCTCGTCCTGCTATTAATAACGACGACCCTGGACTCTGGGTGACGCTACCGCCTCCCAGCCATCGATGGGGGCCAGCGAGAATAGCTGCCCGTATGCAGATAGCAAAGCGGACATGACGCTGAAGGGCATGACTTGCAGTGCGAGGGTAGAGCACCATTGACGGAGACGGTAACAGGGCTCATTTTCGAACTACACAACGGACCTCGGCCGGCGCTTACACTTGGCTGATGCGAGCGCCCTCCAGGGTACCATGGCATTTCAACGTCGCATTCTCCATATAATCGTGCATCACCTGGCCCTGGCCGCGGAGCTCTTTGGACGGCGAGCAACCGGGTTGGCCAATGGCTTTCATGGTTCCAAGAGCTGCGTCGCCAACAGCTCGCCGTGCCCAATCTTTTTTTCTTCACTCGTTCGTGTTCCGCCGGGCCCTGAAAATACACGAATCAGCCAAGTTTCCGCCGTCGGCCGCGGCCTAAGTTATACAGATGCAGGCCTTGTCTTCCCCTTGTCTCGTCACGACATCCAAACCAGCCCAGCCACGCCACCGTCCGCTCCAGTGCTAACGATCCACCCCATCATCTTGTTCATAATGACGATCTACAGGGCGAGCCAAGGCCTCGAAACCCTAGACGAGCACTCGACGAGATCGAGCGCCGTGGCTTGATCCACCGCCTTGCCGAGATACCGTGTGCGGCACAGCTATTCAACCAACCGGGATTCGAGTTTGGTTGAGCAATACCACAGTAGCAAATGTCGAGGCAAGGGCTATCCTGGATGATCCGGTGCCGAGTGGGAGGCTATGGAACGGCAATCCGACTGGCCAGTCTTGATCTTGCCTGCCTTGTTTGGCGTCCCACCTCCATATTTGCACTTTATTTCTCCTCGCGATTCCATGGATCACATGAGTTGGACGTAGCAAAGTTTAAATTGCCGGGATCCATCCAGATTACCTCGTTATCTGCCGCGCGATGGGAGGTCCTGATTTTGGTGGCAAATGAAGTCTTCTTTCTGCTCTAAGCGCATTTGTATACTCGCTTCCACGGCGGCTCGGTGCTTTAATACCACGGCGCGGCAACCGCCATATGGCTAGCCGCAGCGCCCGCGAAACCAGATTCAGCCTCGCGAATAGCCGCCAGCACTTCTAAATTGCGGCGAGCAAGTTTGCTTGGCCCGGCTCGGGGATGGTCTGCCGGTGCATGCATGGGGCGGGCAATATCACTATCGGGTCGCACGTGCTGTACTGGGGGATGGCTAGAACCAAAGCCAACGCAAGTCACGGCAGGCGAGGCTTTCTGCAACATCAGTGTGTTCCCCTGGTCTGACAAAGCCAGCGGATGCCGGCAAGCCAGAACCCGTGTCTTTGCCAGAGATAAAGGGCCCAAACCTGGGCTTTGGCATGCCCCTGGGCGAATGAACACCCCATGCGGCCGCCAAGATACACTGTCCCACGCGGCGGCCCAATCTCGATGCCTCCCCCGGCGTTCACCCTGGCGCTAGCCCAGCGAGAGTGACACCGTACCCACACCTGAGAGGGTCCCTCCACGACAAGGAATCTGGAGTTGAAATGCGAGAAAGTGCGCGAAATAGCGGCGGGCAGAGACGAAATTCGTCACGCGCCATGGGCGACAAAACGGCCCCGTAGTGGAGGGAGAATTCCCACGCGGGCCGGCCATGGCGATGGGGCGGCATGGGAGGGAAACAAGGGACCAGCCGTGCCAGCAAAGCAGGCCAGTTGCCGTGGCACTTTTTTTTTTCTTACTATTTTTTCCATTCTCCCGTTTCATCTTTGGGACCACTCCCCATCCAGCCGTTGTCGGATGATTTGCCCGTTTCGGTACATGCTGCAAACCGTGCAGGAAAGGTCGCCGGGCATATCGGATTAACTAGGTACACGGAAGGGAGGCTGCTGTGAAAATCTGCTGCTGCCAACACAAATCCCGCCATTCTCTTCCCAACCCCAAACCCGCTAGCAGCATTGTCTCGGCATGTTGACTCCGGAATAAAGAGCAAGGTATACTAGTATGGATCGTGGGAGGCCGTCGCCCATCGCGAAAAGGTACCAAACCTGGGCAGTGCCGGCCATGGTTTAGGACAAGCCTCGAGGTTGGACCAGCCGGCATTAACATGCGACGGAGGACATGCTAGAAAGAGCGGCTTCGCTCGGTGCCCCAGGAAAAGGCGCACCAATGGAACCTAATGGTTTCGGCAAAGGTAGCATTCCAGACGGACCTGGCGGAGGGCGTTGGGTTTTGGGGTTGAGACTGGATTTCTCCAGATTGGCTTCTCCAACTTTCTCCAAATTGCTCTATTTCGGCCCCTGGCGCTCCTCTGCGGTGCCTGCAGCGGTTGGGCCTGTGCCTTTTGGGGTGCTCTGGCAAGCAGGGGAGGTAGATGCCGGGGTCCCCGGATATGGCATGGTCCTTTCACAAAAGGGACCGTCGTCAGGCTCAAGTCAGGTGGCCTCTGGTGCATTTCCGTTTTTCAAAGTTGGCCCGTTTAGGTTTGGCCGCTTTCCACCGAGCCCACGCCGGGACAGGCCAACCAGGAGGCGGGAGAGGCGGCTTGCTGACAGGAAAGGACGACGCTGGCAGGACAGGGCAGGTTGAAACGGATTTAGGGTGGGTTATTTCCAGCACATTGCAGGCGGGCAAGCCGAGCAGGTTGTTGCTCGTAAAGGTTTAGGCTTAATTGCAGACTTGCTACTGAAATAAAAGAGAAAAAAGTGATCAGGTGCACATCTAGCCCATGGCTTGTTGCGGGTCCAACGCACACACTCGCTGGCCCTGCGAGTTACTACAGTACCTCCATCTTGCCCTCGACTTCCACCAGTTGGCAGAGGGTAATAGCAAACCATGTACCGCCACCACTACCCGGCCGACTGCTTCAGGCCTGGCGCATGGTCGAATCCATCCCAAGAATCCGGGATGGTAACGTCCTTGCTGTTTCTCTTGCAGTTAGGATGCCGAGTCAACCAAACCTTTCCCCGCCCCGCGTCGTCCCATCTCTCATTCTCCGGCAATCTCTCTTCCTCCCTTCCGTAAACCATAGCGCTGCTTGGTCTGGCACTCTGGGTAACTTCGTATCCGCAGCCACCCAGACAGCTGACTGGTGGCACAGTGTGAATGTCCACGTTGCGTCTCTGGTGGGTTTAGGTAGATAGGGGAGGATGGGGAGTGGGACCGCTGACGAGCAGGGTCCTCACAGTGTCTTTGAGGTCAAAGCCCAGAAAGGCCAAAGCCCAGAACAGGTCTTGGTTTTCTCTCCCTCTCGTCACCTCGGCTTTGTGTTCGCAAGGGTCCCAGCCTCACACCGGGGTTGCGGTCCCCCGCTGTTGCAGAGACACAACACATGCGCAGTAATATCGTCGCCGTGCCGAGTAGTAATAATAATGGGTATGCGGTGTGTTGCGTCTGGTCCTCTACGTCCTCTCTGCGTCCTCTCTGCGTCCTCTCTGCGCCCTCTCTGCGTCCTGGCCGTCGATGTGGATTGAAATCCATGGCATCCCTCCTGGCTAGAGGCTGCGTCATTCCTGCATCGAGAAAAGCGAAAACAAGCATGAATTAACCCTAGCAGATCTCGCAAGCACGAGCCACCTGGAGTACGCACCCATCCATGGCGACAGCACAGACACCCACTGCTTCTCTCTCGCAAAGCCTCGCTGCCCCAACCCACCATCAAAGCCTCGCCGTCTACCCCCCCTGTTACCCCAGACTTTGCCAGCCAACCAAAGCAGCACGGACAGCTGGCAATCGAGCAAAAGAAACAATTATGGAGGGTGGACAATGCATAGCATAACGGGCACGCAGACTCGCAGACACGCACACGCACGCACACATGACAAGTCGCATGAACTGCCCAACAGCCTGTGCACGGGTCTTGCCACAGGTCCCTCTGCTTACCCCAAATCGAAACGGCCCGGGGCTCGAGAGCCGGGTGGCCACACGGCTGCTCTGTGTCTGGCCGCTCTCTTCCTCCAGGATTTGGAAGACGCTGCAGGTGTGGGTTGGATCGGTCATGGGCCAACCGTCGACGCCGGCCCTTTTGAGAGGCCGCTCCAGAAGGAGGTGGTGGGGTGGCCCGGCCAGCATGTGCCTCGAGCAGGAATCCATTGGACAATCGGAGCTCTCTCTGACGACGACGCCATGCACCATTTCTATTTCGGCTGGGTGGCTGGCGAGCTAGGTGTGAGCTCCATCGCCCGGCAGCATGCCGCTTTCCAATCACGCCGCCCGGCTTTCAGGTAGTGGGACCTTCCTCGTGTGTCGGCGCATCATCTCGGTGTCACTTAGGACTTTGCCGCTTCCCGGTTGGTGGTGGAATCTCTTTTGGCCGCTGGGGCAGATCGAGCGGCCAAGGAGCAAATAAATCAGTACACCAAATATGTTCCCGCCTCTGACGTCTTTCCTGCAGCTAATCGTCGCCATCAAGGCCTAGCCCACTCGGGCAGAAGCCCGACGTGGAAATTTTATCCGTTTTTCGTCCGCCATCACGCTATCCAAACTACAACTCCACAGGCAAGGCCGCCGTGCTCGCCCGTGGCCAGCCGTTTGGTGCGTGGCCATTGGTGCTTTGGTTGCAGCACCGCGGCTCCAGGGCCTGTTGCTGGCCCCATCGCTGTGCGGCCTTTGCTTGGCGTGCAGTGCTGGCCCACCACCCACCCCACGATGGACGGCGTTTGTGTTTCTGGACCCGGCAAGCCAGCCCAGCCCAGCTTGCCAGCCGAGGCTTGAGCCATTTCCGAAGCTGCCACCCGTTACCGAGGGCGCAATCCCTACCGCTGGGCCACGGGTGAGCGAGCCGGGCGGCGCGCCGGTGGGTACTGCACCCGCGTCTGGCAAATCAGCGTCGTACGGCTGGTGCCAAATAAAAAACAAAAGGAAAAAGGAAGAAAAAAGGGAGAAAAAGGCCGTGGCTGTGCCGGAGGATTCGGCCAGCCGGCGTTGGTTGCGTCGAGGCTGCTAGATCCGCTTCGTCCGAGCAGGCCTCTTAATGGGCGGCCTTGGCTGCAGCCACAGTCCACTGCCATTGTATCATCAACAGCCTCTCTGGGTAGGCGAAGCTGCATTGCAACCGCAATTGGGCCAGAGTGGTTGGATATGCACCCCCGAGCCGAGCTATGTCGCTGGTTCGAGCGAATCATTCGATGAGACCCCGTGACGCTCGGCATGCCATCTCCATGCCCTCCCCATGCCCTCCTATCGTGGGTAAGCGGGCTTCCGTCAATATCGTCCCGCTGCACCCCAATATCGTGCTGGAGAAGAAACCGCCCCTTCGCTTGATCGGCCATTGAGCAGCCGGCGTGGGAACTTTACCACACGTCCGGTACGGCACGAACGGCTTGCTTGTTTTCCCCCCTCCCTTGCCATATACACCCATAAGGGTTTGCCTGGATTGGCCGGCTTTCTTGGGAGCACTTTTCGGGCAACGGCAGTGAAGCAACGGGGTTTTCCCAAGGCCTTGGCCGTGCGAACTGTTGCAAGCTTCCAGATTGGACCTGGAGAAAAATCGTACGTGGCGATAGGCGGAGGCCACCACAATTACACACCTCTGTATTGCCGGCCCCAAGCCAACAGCAACCACACCCGAAGCCCGGCCGGGCCCCGTCGTAGAGTGGAGTGGAGGATTCCATGACGCGCTTGGTGTGCCGGACAGATGATGATGCATTAGAGGGACCCGAAGCCGAGCCAGAAGAAAGCTGCTCACTCCCCACGCCCTACCAACCCTTACCGTCCAGCCCGCCGTGGCTCGCTCCCCCGGCACTATCCAAATCCGAGGGAGGTGTGGTGATGGGCAAGGGTATCTCCAACAGCGGAACCCACCCCCATTCCAGACCCAGCAGCAAAAGAGGCAGGCAGGATGACATCCTTGTGCGTCCCACGGGGTTAGCTGGGCGCCGGAACCGGAACGACGACACAGGTCCAGGCGAGGAAGGAGGCCTGGCCCGCAGGTAATAAACATGCAGGGCGCGCGCCTCGGCAGTGGGGATGCCACGCACACCGGTGACAAGGGTTGGACGGCCGCTGCGCCGGCTGCGGCCAATCGCGCCCTGCCGTGTGTGCCCACCGGTGGGAGTACGGCTAAACTGGGGGACTGCTGCTTCCCTCGGTCTCGCCACAGCACTTCTTGTCGAAGGTGGCAGCAGGCGGGGACGTTGCCGTTAATGGCAGAGAAGACGACGCTGTGTGAGTGAGTGCTTGTCTTGCATGTTGCCTATCTGCCAAACGGTTAGGTTGGCTGGTGTGGCCCCCCCCTCGTTGCACCCAGTATGTCGTGCTGTGTCCTGCGACTACCACCCAACGTCCGTTTAAGCCGACGATGGCTCAGGGTATTGTATTCTTCCCCCTGCCTCCATCTTATCCGTATGTAGCTCTTGCTACGCCCACAGTCCATCCGCGGCATGCCCCTGCCACCCATGCACCTGGCCGAATCGAGGTCGCTCGTCAGGACGAACGGGAAGGAGGAAAACTCGACGTTGCCACTTGCTCCCGCCCCTTTTACCACTCCACGACGTAATATCGCCGAGCCTCAACCAATACCGAGCTATTTTGAAGCTAGGGATGGCAGCCAAAATTGACGGGACCCATTGGGCTAGCCAAAAGATTCGCCATATGGGCATTCTCGATCTTCCCCAAACAAGCCACTGGCGGCTGAAGTCCAACGACCTTCATAGTGCAGAGAGCTTCCCAGGCCTAGCAGAAAGCGCTAGCCAGCCTGCACCCACTCACATGGCCCATTGCCACGTTCGCCACGCCCCCTTTACCCGTCGGGTATTTCCCGTCTCTCCAATGCCAGGGGACGGGGCGAGCGGGTTGGGGGAAGATTGTTTTTCCCTTGTGGCTCTCGCCTAGCCTTTTCTGGTAGCCTCACATCATGGTACCTGCTGGTGTTAGCCATGAGGGCTACACACCACCGGACTTTGCGTCACCCTCTGTCCGCGTTGGGTTGCCGTCGTCCAAAAGGCAAAATGGCCAGGATGCGGAAGTAGATAGACCGGCTGCGTCCCGTTGGGTAACAGTAGCAACTAGCATTAGCTGGTGGCTTGAGGTGCTGTTCCACCACACCATAATTATACCACCTCCCTCGTTCCTCCTTCTACTCGGCCATGGGAGTCATTATCACTTCTGGGCACCGTGATACCTATTAGCCAGTTCGGGATGCGGCAAAACCCAAACCTCATATGTTGGGATATTGGCGAAAGGTCCTTGGGGACACCTAACAAGAGAAATGCCCTTGATGTTCTTCAACTCCATCAGGCGCCGGATGCAGGTGTCGCGTTAAGAGGTACAGTGTCGCCATGATGCTCCGAGGTTACTCTTGTGCTACCATTTCCTAATGGACTCCTTGCCGATCGCGCTAAAATTCGGGGATCCTTTGCTGTTCTTTAATACGCCCACGTGGGTACCTCTCCGCCTCCTAGGGCAGGTAACGCCACGCGCCGCGATCCAACGTGGCGGCCTTGCCTCTTGTCCAAGCGCGGGGACTACACACCCTGACCAGGCACATGATGGGCGACTTCGCCCGGCCCTCCGGGTTAATTGCCATGGGGGTGAAGCTTGCCATAACGGGCCCTCTCAACCGACCACGGATAGCTTGACTGCCCGTTGGCGCGTCCACCGTCCGCCGCCCCGGCCTGGCTCATAAGCCGATCCGACAGCAACAGCTAGCCCAACAGGTCAAAGTATGGGTGGGAGGGCCCTAGTGCCGAAACGAACGTGCCATCCTGTTGGGAGAGCCGCTATAGTCAGCCGGTGCTCCTAGGTCCAGCAAAGATGCGAGCATACAAGGCAAAAGGGCTCCACGCAGTGGTCGCCGGGCTGAGGCAGCCCGATCCTGAAATGTGGATTGCAAACTCGAGCCCTTTTCCGGAATATCGTGACGAGAAGCTGGCTGGAGGCATGTAAATGCGCCGCAAAGCAAAGCAAAGCTCATACCATCGTTGGCAACGACCGAGGCCCAAGACCGCGCCCTGTCAACAACGATGATATGGGTCATTTATCTGTCAAAAAAAGCTACATGTTGATAACCTTTGGGCCAAGCAATAACTTAAAGTTCTCGAGAAGCCCTGAACTGTCTTGCGGGTGATGATGGAGGCGGGCCCATCGGGTGAACTTTCTAACGAGGCTGCTAGGTGATATCGCTGGGTTCCCACAACCCTTTGTCCGGGGCTGAAACAATCTCTGAGCTGGGGAGGCTTGAGCCTCGGAGCGGTGTAGGCAAAAAGTTGAACGACGTATCGACACGCTGGATATAAATCTTGTTAATCATTTAAAGGATCTGGGTGTGTTTCGGCCATGCTAGGACGGTTGGGCAAAACCCTTTCCGGCATTCCGCATCCCTGTGGCATTTCCCCAGACGGCTCCAGTCAGCATTGGTTAGTTATAGGTGCAGCAGGAAAAAAAATAAACTTACATGCCACCAGTACCTTGAATGAATGCCTGGCTGATTTATCTGCATCCGATCCTTATATAGCTTAGATTCTTGCTCACTAGCCTTTCGACCTTGGCCAGGACGCGGCGGCACCTCCATTTGCCCGCGGCGGATGGTGAGCCACCTGGGGAAAAGACCGTGATATCTGCACCAAACGGGATGGAGTTGCAACCGAGATTGGTGGCAACCACGGCCAGCAAAAAAGCAAACGAGACGAAAAAGACACCGGCGCGGGCACCAGGGGTCCAGTAGTGGTCGAGGATGGCATCAAGAAGGTCCCACGGGTTCCAGTAGGCCGTGACCCATACCCCCTGGATCGAGGTGTTAGACGCGAGGCCAAGGAAGAAGACGAGGACTTAACTACCAAACACGCAAACACCCGGCAGCAGACCGGCATCGCGCGGCTTTTGCACATAGCGCGTGAGGTCGGGCTGATTGACAAGCATGGGCGACAGCGAACCCATGATGACGTTGATGCCGCTCATGATGGACCACCCCAAAGGTGTCGTGGCGGCAATGCGTGTCCGCTCCCGTTGGACGCATCCAAACTGGCGACGCCGACTCCTTCGCGCATGCACCAGCCGAACAAGCCGAAGCAAGCGACAGGCATAATGAAGCCCTCAACGGTAAATATGTAGTGGATGCTCGTTGGGTGGACCCAGGTCATTGGGGACTTGACGAGCCAGACGAGGAAGAAGGCAAGGAGCTGCTTGGAGGTAACGTCGGCGCCCGTAGGCAACGAGTTGGGCCACTCTTTCTAGGCGTCGCCAAAGATGCAGCGGAAGCAGACGCTGAGCAGGTTGCCGCCGTAGTAGGTCTGGATGCCGTACCAGATGATGCAGACGACGGCCCGAATGAAGACGAAGAAGTAGGCGTCGTACATGCCGATGACGGAGCGGGCGAGCACCGGGTAGCCGATGTGGTACATTGCGCCCGGGCGGGCTATGGCGACGACGGCGCACGAGGCGAGCAGGGCGCCAACGATGCACGAGATGAAGGCCTGCTGCCACGTCAGGCCGGTGGCGATCAGGCCTGGGCGGCGACGTTCCAGCCTGTGATGCCAAACATGGTGGAGAACCAGTACATGGGCAGGTTGAACCACGTCCATGGGTGGTGTCGGCTCCAGGTCCTTGTTGGACCAGCCCGGGTCTCCGATGGGTTGCTTGCCATCGGCTCTCTCCGTGGACGCCTCGAGCCAGCGGACCAGCGCATCTCTGGACTGGAACGGCGCTGCGGCGGCGGCTCTGCTGGGGATGGCGATGCGTGCCATGTTTGTCGAGATGGGCGAGACTGGTGCGTGCCCGGTGCCAAAACCGGTATACCACGGAAGGCAACGGCTGCATGTTGATCTTATATCGACAGCATCCAAAGGTAGCTCATGGGCTGCCATTCAAGCTAGCTGCCATCCTGGCCTGTGGGCTTACATCTCAACGCCCTGGTCGGGCGACCCTTAATCTTGGCTCTATTCCAACCGGGCGGCGACGCTCGAGCCCGCCTACGAAGCGCGGGAGCCAGCGGCTTCCGACTCTGATAGGCATGCGCCAAGAAGGCCGCCACGCGTAGCTATCGCTTGCACGAGATGTAAGCGGAGGAAGCAGAGGGTGTGTATGTCGCAGGAAAGTCTGAAAGGCAAGGAGCAGCACTATGACGCATGGCTGGCGCAACAGCGGCGGGTGCAGTGCGACGGCGCCCACCCGACTTGTAGATCTTGCGCCAAAGCAGACGCCTTCTGTATCTACGAGCGTCCTCTGCGCCCCCAGTACCCAGGGGGCAAGTCCTTGTAAGTCCTTGTGACGCGGCTGGCTGCTGTCGCAGTCTATGCACAGCTGACACTCTCGCGTAGGTACATCACGGCCTTGGAAGAACGCATCGCGTTCCTCGAGTCCCGTATCCCAGGCCTTGCCGAGGATCATTTTGAAGTGTCAGCTCCCGACCAGGGCCCAGCAGCCCCAAGCCCAACCGTGGCCTTCCCGTTGCAGTCAACGGGGAGCGATGGTGTGGCGGACGAGTTGCCGCCGTCGCCGCCCCGTTGTAGTCGCCGGCAAGTGGGCTCCTTCTTTGATGCAGAGTCCCCCTCGCTTGTCGACGGCGTAGCCTACTTATCGCTTCGCGCCTCGGGTATTGGAGATGGCGACGACGATCCTGAGCCATAAGACTGTCCAGGCATCCATCTTCCACAGCGCCAGGGGTAAGGAGGCCATCTTTGGAGTTGATCCTCTCCAGAATACCTGGCCAGCAGGACATGTGAGACATTTAGCGGAGGGCGTGACGGCACCCCCAGGGCTACTTCAGACATCGGCAGCGTCAGCGGCCTTCCCTGATCCACATGCCGCCAGTTTGTTGTTCGACGTCTTCTTTGACAGACTGCACACACACTGGCCTGTCCTGGATCGCAGTCTTTACATCCAGCTTTTTGACAATTAGTATTCCCACGACAGCGGCGCCATTTCGATCCAGCAGCGTGGGGCCCTCCATTTAATCTACGCCATCTCGGCCCGCTGCTTGCAGCTGACCAAGAAGCAGTGCAATGTCGACCCCGAGGTATATCTCGCGGCTGCCATTGAGCACATGGACTTTATCCTCGAGCAGCACGACCTCGTGACTGTGCAGTTCCTGTTGTTGCTGGCCTTGCATGGTTAAAGATCACCGTACGGCGCCAGAGCCTGGTCGCAGGTCAGACACGCCGTCACGCTCTGTATAGAACTGGGTTTACACCGGAAACGGCGGACACAGCCAAACCAAGGGTTAGGTAGCGGTGTTTGTGTCGACTCGAGAGCGGCAGAGATGCGCTGTCGCGTGTTTTGGGTCGTGTACTGTCTTTACCACTTGACCAGTGGCGTGCTTGGTCGTCCCTTTGCCATTGACGACAAAGACATTGACGCCGAGCTTCCCCAGTCCGAGGTTGCCCTGTGGGGCCTACAGGCAGGCCGCTCGTCGACAAGGAGACGGATACCTCGTCCGTTCTGCCGTGGTCCAACGTCCTGCCTTTTATACACATTATCAAGCTGCACCGCATCCAATCGCGCATCCATCGCCGCGTCTACCGCGTAGACAGACATTTGCCAGACGTAGGTGCCTATCCCAGGCTAGACGAGAAGATGGCGGCGCTGCAGCGCGAACTCGACGAGTGGAGGAGTACTGTGCCTTACCCACCGTCCCGATGGCCCTCGCAGTGTGCGGCGACCTGGATGTACGACCCTGAGAGCGTCCACCATGACAGCAGGGACTTCTTCGAGCTGCAGTACCACAAATCCGTCTTGCTGCTCTACACGGTGCTTCTCCCCACCCTGGATCCGACAGACCCGAGGTTCGGCACCACAGCGACGTCGGTGGCTGCCGTATGCACCGCTTACAAGAGGTTAGAGCAGCATCGCACCCTCAGCTACACCATGCTCGCGCTGCACTCGTGCTTTGTGGCGGGCCTGACACTCGTGTACTGCAGCTGGCGGGGTGGGCGGCGGGCCTTTAGCTTCGAGGCCCTCGACGCCGCGCGCGCCTGCAGCCAGAGCCTCACGATCTTTGGTGAGAAGTGGCCCGGCGCCGTCAAGTACCGCGACATCTTTGACGCGCTTTCGGGAAGCCCCCCGCGCGCCATGATGGCACATGGAGGCGACGAAGCCCCGCTCGTGCCGCTTTCTGGCCTGAAGGAGACGAGTGGGGACGCGCTGGGCGGGCGTCATTTGTCGACGAACCACATGGTGTCGGACGCTGTCGCTGATGCTTTTATGGAAGTCGACGAGGAGGCGCCAGGGTGGTGGCATTGCTGGCGAATGTTGAACGAGATGGTCCAGCCTGAAGGCAGTATTAGACAGGGGGCGTCTGCGGACAACCAAAACCATGAGCCCCAGATCATGTCGACAAGCGAATGGGATTTTGGAGGTCTCGAAGGACTTGGCTAGCCAGTATTAAATTCATTCGAATTCCGAGTACAAACACATGTTGTATCATGCCAATCTCCCTTTCTTGTATGGATACTGCTCCTGGAAGGCCTCAGCAATCTCGGTACGTGTTGCCACCCCACGCCCTCCTTCTTGCCAATGTACTCGACAAAGTCCCTCAGCGCGGCGAACCGACCCGGGCGGCCGGTGATGCGACAGGGCAGGCCAATAGTCATCATCTTGGGTGCTCCCTCCTGGCCCTCCTCGTACAGCATATCAAACGCATTCTTCAGGTGGTTGTAAAAGCCCTCGGTGTCGCGAAACCCAGGGCCAGCAGACAAGAATTTGAAGTCATTGCAGTCGTACGAGTAGGGCACCATTAGACACCTCTTGAGCTTTAGGCAGTCCCGCTCCATGGGCAAGTCGGTCCAGTACGGCACGTCGTCGGCGTAGGCGTCGCTGGCCCGCACCAATTCCTCGCCCAGCTCCTCGTACACGACCGGCACGAGGCTGCGGCTGTGGGGCGACGGGCGGCTGTAGTACCAGCCACGGGGCGCGTAGCCCGTCGGCGCCTTGAGCGACAAGACGGCCTTCTTGATGTACTCGCGCTCGCGGTCGACGGGGTAGTCATGGTAATTTATCCAGCAGTAGGCGTGCGACGCCACGTCGTGGCCGGCCTCGGCACAGCGCCGCGCCACTTCGGCGTTGCGCTCCAGCGCCTAGGCGACGGCGTAGAGGGTGAACTTGAGCCCGTGCTTGGAGAAGAGCCGGAACATGCGCCAGAAGCCCGCGCGCGAGCCGTACTCGTACTCGGACTCGACGCTGTAGTCCCGCTCGTTGATGCGCGGGTGCGCCATCAGGTGCTCACGCAGGTTGGGCTCGCCGATGCCGTCGCCGGCTAGCACGGACCGCTCGCCGCCCGGCAGTAGTGGATGTTGGCTGGGAGGCTGGCGCAGCACCGCACCGGTTGTGGATGGGTTTAACGCACCTCTTCATAGTTAATTACAAACGACACGGCGATCTTGGCATTGCCTGGCCATTTAATCTTCAATCCTTGTTCTCCGTATCCTTCGACATAGTATTATGTCTCTGGCATTTTGGCTGTGGGGATTCAGCGGTTCCAGTATAAGCCCAGGGGTGTGCTTAGGGGGTGAATTAGCGCGTTGTGGCGGATAGCTTAAGCTGGCACAGCAGCCGAAGCTGCGCAACCAAATGGCATCATCTTCTTATAAGAGGAATGACTAAAACGTCCATCCCTTCGGCGTTAGATGCCGATGGTGCACCCACGCATTCCCGATGCCGGGTCCCAAGATCCGATATGCATGAGTAGGCGCCGGCTTCTGCTTATCGAATTTGGTGGGGTTGCATCCATGTGTCGACCCCGCTCGTTCCTCGCCGACTCGGGACGTCGGCTGGACAGGTCTTATCTTCGGGGAGGGTATTCCGCCATCACCACCACCTCCTCCATGAGCCCAATGATGCTTGCTGCGGGCTTTGCCTAAGGTACTTGGATGAACGTCGGTTCGCATGCAGCGCGACATGCTGCATTAGTCCCTGCATTTGCCAACCCGACAAGCCCACTGCAGCGTCAATCCTTCCAGTGACATCATGGCCGCACAGCCAGAGCCATACCGGTGGACGGCATCCCATGCTGTGACAAAGATTCGATCTGGGGAGCTCACCGTCGAACGATTCGCGCAGTCTCTCTTGAGCCAGATAGCTGCTCGTAATAGCGACGTCCAGGCCTGGGCTTATCTCAATCCAGATCTTGTCCTCGAGCAGGCGCGAGCTCTGGATCGCATTCCCCTCCCGGAGCGCGGGCCGCTCCACGGAGTCGCCATCGGTATCAAGGACATTTTCTACACGAAAGGCAAGTGGCAGCATTCGACGAAGGTCGCCCAAGCTAACAAAGAATGGCCCAGACATGCCCACGTGCCACAACTCTCCCATCTACGCCAGCGACACGGCAGTGGCTGTAGATTCGGGCCCCGTCGCGATCCTTCGCCAAGCAGGCGCCCTGATTCTTGGGAAGACGACAACAACAGAGTTCGCGGCGACAGTGAATGGGACTGCCACCAAAAACCCACATGACCCTTTGCGCACCCCAGGCGGGTCATCGTCTGGCTCAGGGGCCGCCGTGGGCGACTCGCAGGTGCCTGTGGCGATCGGCACCCAAACTGGCGGCAGCATCATCCGCCCTGCCTCGTTTAATGGCATCTATGGCTACAAGCCCACCTGGAACGTCGTAAGCCGCGAAGGCCAGAAGATTTGCTCGCTCATCCTCGACACGATTGGAGTTTACGCCCGCTGCGTCGCCGACTTGCAGCTCATGGCCGATGTGCTCAACATTAAAGACGACGAAATGCCCACGGGCACTTTTTCGGTTCGCGGCGCAAAGTTTGGCTTGCTCAAAACTGTCGTCTGGCCACAGGCTGGGCCTGGGACCCAGGCTGCAATGGCCAAGGCAGCAGAGCTACTCCGCGACCACGGCGCCACGGTGGAGGAGCTGTCACTGCCTCCGGATCTTAACGACTTGCCCGAGTGGCACCGGACTGTGATCTCCACCGACGGAAGGAGTGCCTTCTTCCCCGAGTATGTCGTCGCAAAAAGCAAAATTTCCCAATTTGTAATAGACCAGGTGGAAAACTCGGCCGGGATTACTAGGCGCCAACAAATGGACGCATTCGATTGTTTGGCTGCAGCTCGGCCGAGGGTGGGCGAGATCTTGAGTGGATACGACGCCGTCATTGTTCCCAGCGTTCCTGATGAGGCTCCTCTTGGGCTGGAAAGCACCGGGAGCGCAGTATTCAACGTCATCTGGACAGTGAGTTTTTTCTTGTTTCTTCCAGCGGCCCCTATCATTCGCTAATCCCGGCACATCATTTAGGCCATGCACACTCCAGTTGTAAACATCCCGGGATTTTGCGGCGAGAATGGGATGCCGATCGGGGTGTCGCTGGTGGCTCCACGGTACCAAGATAGGAAGCTGCTGTATGTGTGCGAGGAAGTTGGGAAAATCTTTGAGTCGGAGGGAGGATGGGGCTCGAGGCGGACAACGGAGGGCTGCAAGTAAAGGGCACTAGAACCACACTTTGTAAGGCAGCAATAGATTTTTGGGAGTGAATGATTTCATGTTCTGTCACACGGGGATTAACCCCTTGACAAAGCGACAAGCCGAGTGGGCCAACAAACGACCTATTAGGAGGCCATGAGGCAAAGGAGCCTTCTGGTTGGGGCGGCTCAAAGCATTACAAGTTCCCCGCAGGTGCCAACCGCCTTTGGCGGGGAGCGCGGCAGGATTTACCCCTTTTAAATACGTACTTTAAAACCTTTATGTAAGCCGGTAAAAGGGTTATATAAAGAGGTTTCCTTTTCGAGGTTTTTCGAAAAGATTTTAATTTTTTAAGCATTTTTTTAAGGCTTTAAAAAATTATTAATATATGTATTTATACGCTGTTATGTTTATGGAAGAAACCTTAGTGCTGCGGCTAAGTACATGCAAATGGGGGAAAACCTTTGGGTTGGGCCTAAGGAGGAAAAACCCTATGCCTGCGTTCCCGCCTTTCTGGCGGTGCGCCTCCGTGGCGGTGTTAAACCGCTTTGGCTAACGCTTACTTTTCTCCACGCTCGACTGCTCGTAAGGGCTCCACCCGGGAATTAACCGTCCTCCCGCGTGCAGCCCCCTTTGCAGGGGGCCGACAAGGCCGCGTTTTGCTTGCTTGTGGTTAATTGGTTAATTGCTTCGTTATGTAATTTGCTAGGGCTTGCTAGGCCTAATCGTTATCGCTTCGGGGTTCGAATTGCCAATTTTATTCTGCTTGCCCAGGTGGTCCAGGGCATTTGGGAACCCTTCCTTTCCCCCCCCTTTTTTATTTTTTTGTTACTTTTTTTTACTAGCCCGTTATCGGCGTTCCTTTATTTGGTGCATTACGTGCGTTATTTTTTTTTGTTTGTGCTTTAAAAAGCCCCAACCTTTAAAGCACGTGCAAGGTAATAACCCTGCCAAGCACGTAAAAAAGGTGCATTCGAAAATCGGATTAATGGTGGTAGCGGACGGGTGCAAGGCGGTAACGCAAAGGTAAAGGAGGTAAGGGGGGGGGCTGCTATCGAAATCGATAAGGTTGTTGTAGTTGTTATCGGTTGTTTTATTGGCGTTGTTGGTTTTTGGTTGATTTGGCTTATCGGCCCTTATCGAATTTCGATCCTGGCAGGCCAAGGGCTTAAAAACAAAAAGTCCTTTGGTTTCGACGGGATTCGAACCCGTGGTCCTGGCGGGACCGGCCTGGTGCAAAGCCATTGCACCGCGAGGCCAAAAATTATTAATATATTAAAACTTTTTTTAACCCGATTTTTAATCCTTTTGTAACAAATAATTTTTTATTTTTTAAAATTGCTTAATAACGCCCGTTACTTTTTTTTCCAAAATAAGGACGAAATTATTATACAATAATCCGTTTTTTGCTTTTAGTAGTTAACGTTAAAAACCATTTCGTTGCATAAAGGTTTAATTGCACCGGGTATTTTTAAGGGTTTTATTGCTTTGCATTATTATTGCGCGTAATTTAAATTGTACAAAAGTTTTTAATTAGCTAAAGCGAAGCAAAAAGGAAAAGCGTGTAACGTTGTTATTTATAAGCTTCGTCCCTTTTTTATCGCCCAAATCCTTAATAGCGTTGCCGCGATTATACGCGCGTAAGCAATAGCTTTAATTAACAAATTAAAATTTGTAACTAAGGACGAGGAAAATATTATTGGGTTAAACGTTACTTTTATACCGTATTAATATTGCACCCGCCCGCCGTAATAGGATTACAAGCGTGCGCTTATTATTTTATACGAACCGAACGAAACCAATAACCGCGTGGTTAAACCGGCTTTACGTTAATTGCAGTTACAACGGATTTTGTTAAGCTTTAGCGATTGGTTATTCCATAACCGTTTGCACTAACCGCATTAAACAAATTTACTCCAGGTAACTGTCACGGTACGCGTCGGGGCACCTGGGGAGGAACCTAAGGCCGCACTTTTAGCGCGCCAACGTTACGCTTACAAAACCGCGACAGAACGCTAGGGACGCCCTGCCCAAATAGCTTCCTTTTCGTGCAATAACAAAGCCTTTTTTATAACAATAAGGTGTAAGCCGTGGCAATTTGTTGCACTTTAAATTTTCGGGACCCGATATTAACATGTTTCGTTTTTTTTTTTGCCAATAACTTGTTACGGTACGCGTCGGGGCACCTGGGGAGGAACTTGAGGCCGCACTTTTAGCGCGCCAACGTTACGCTTACAAAACCGCGATAGAACGCCAGGGACGCTCTGCCCAAATAGCTTCCTTTTCGTGCAACAACAAAGCCTTTTTTATAACAATAAAGTGTAGGCCGTAGCAATTTGTTGTACTTTAAATTTTTGGGACCCGATATTAACATGTTCCGTCCTTTCCTTTGCTAATAACTTTATAAAACGGTAGCACACCTTTTCGCTTACGATCGACCAACGTCGATACCTACCCCAAATCCTGCCGTATAATTTCGGAAAAACATTTCCATTTCCCCGATTTAGCTCCTTTAACCAAATAACCCGTTAGCGAATTACCGCCGCGGTTACACCATGCCCACCGCACCCGACGCCCCCGAAGCGGGCCTTTCGGGCCCAACAACAACAATTTTACAAAACGCCGTTTTTTTATTCCCAACCCTGCATTCCATACGCAAAGCAATTTAAAACGATTTTAACGATTACGCCGCTTTATATTTCGCTTTGCATTTAAAACGTTTTAACGAAGCTTAAGCCCAATTTAAATATATTTTCCGGGTTATAAAAACCCGTTTTTAAGTTATTAACGAATTGCTAGCGATATACCGCCAAAACGCCGATACCGCTTACGCTATAATTTCGAACCAAAAAATAACGATCCGCAAACTTTAAATTTAAATCCAGCAGCTATTTAACCAAACCATGCTTATACCAGCTATAAATACGCCCTTTTTAGCGCAGCCTTTTGGGGCCGCCGCGTTATCGCCAGCAATCCGCCCCCGAACGGTTACCTTCGAAATTTTTAAAAGCACAAAAATGGACCAAATCCAACGACAAAAGCATTATACCAATTGGCGCTTTTTGCTTAAAGTATAAATGGAATTATACCGGGCCGCTTTCCCAACGCCACTAAAACGCGTTCTTTTTTTATCCCAGCATTTGGGCAACAACGCTTTTGCTTTTATAAAAACGAAAATCGATTAAATTGTTACGGCCGGCGATAACGTTTTCCAATAGCCCGCCGGTTAGCGTAATTATTTAAACGTTATTAAAACGCTGGATTAAATTTACATTACTACCGATATATTAGCAAAAGCTAATTGGAACTTCGAATTATTTGCCCAAAGCAATTCCTTTTTCGGCGATTTTATCGGCAATTTTATTAAGTTTAGCGATATATACAACTTGCTTAACAATTTACGAGTACTGGCTTTTAGGCAAAAAGTAAACCGCTTATTGCATAAAGCCATTACGTTAATTATAAAACGCCCGGGACCCGACAACTTCAAAGGGTGGGTAAGCTTATTTCGGAACCTAACCAACAACATTGCCGACGATATTTTCCGGAACAAATAAAACGCTAACGCCCATTCCCCAGCACGCCATTCTAACGCTAACGATGCGCCGGGACCGGCTTAGCATTTAAACGCTATGGATTTCGACAAAATTACGATAAAGCCCCGACCCCCCTTTACTAACGCCCGAAAGGAGTACAAGCGTACCAATAACCTGTGCTTTTATTGCGGCGGGGCAGGGCATTAAACAACCGTTTGCATAAAAAAAAGGAAGCCAAAAGAATAGGCTTTGGGTACAATCGCTTTTAAAGCTATTAGCGTTTTGCCAACGACTTTTTAAAAGAAATAAAAATGTATTTACATTTAATAGGACCCAATTTTACTTTTTTATTTTATAACGAGCTTTTTGCCGAAAGAACGCTACCAATCCGGTGCCGCACCCTTTTAAATACCGGATGTTCCCCATAAGCATTTATCGATAATACCTTTGCGCATAACCATAACCTGCTACGCTTTGCCCTGCCCAAGCCCATTCCTTTAAAGTTAGTTAATGGCAAGGTTACGGGTTATTTCCGCGAATGCGTTAAAATGCGCTACCGCATCGCTTGCCAAACAAAAACGCTTATTATGTACATTTGGCCATTGGGGACGGGAAGCCCTAACATTATACTAGGGCTTTTTTGGCTACGCCATTACAACTTTTATATCGATTAAATAGCGGGCTTAATAATTATGCACGGCATTACGTTATTAAAATTAAACCCGAACGCTAGCAACCCATTACGCAACCGCTTAAAAAACGACGATAACGAATTTAACCCCGCAAATATACGCATGTTTAACGCTCCCAATTTTATGCTATTTTGCAAACAAAAAAGCGTGCAATTTAAACGAACAACCATGGCGGAGCTTTACGCTAAAACTTGCCCCGAACTTTTAATACCTTTAGTAAGCGCCAACTAGCTTGCTAACGATACGCCAATGGAAATTTTCCGTTCCATTTTAACTTTATCCGATAAAATCTTTCGGAATATGCTAAAACCACGCTTAGCCGCATTTTAGGATTAGGTCGAAAAAGCACTACATTTCCGGCGCATTTTTAACGATAATATCCAAAAGTACTTGGATAGCAAACCCCCCGTTACGATAAAAGAAATTTTACAGCGTTTTTTTTACGAATTCCGCAATTTAGCGTTATGCTTTTTTCCCCAAAACGCCGATAAATTGCTACCGTACCGCCCTTCCAACCATAAAATCAAATTATTCCCAAGCAAAACGCCCCTTTATTACCATAACAAATTTATGTTCCAAAAGGAGCTTCGAATTGTTAGGAAGTACTTAAACGAACATTTAGCGAAAGGCTTTATACGCGATAGTATATCGCTAGCGGTTGCCCCGGTTTTTTTAGCAAAAAAGCCCGGGGGGGGAGTCCGCGTTTGTATTAATTACCGGGGTTTAAACAACGTTACCGTAAAAAACAAATATTTTATCCTTTTAATTAAAAAAATATTGGACGCCTTTTCGAAAGCCAAGTATTTTACCAAATTGGACATTATTGCAGCGTTTAACCGTTTACGAATTGCCCCAAAAAACGAATAAAAAATAGCGTTTATTACCAAGTTCGGCTTTTTCGAATGCTTGGTAACGAATTTCGGCATAACAAGCGCTTTTAGCTTTTTTCAATATTATATTAACCGCACTTTATTAAATGCATTAAACCGTTACGTTATAATATACCTCGACGACGTTTTTATTTACAGCAAAACGCGAGCGGAATACCGGCGCCACGTTCGCGTAATGGTCCAAAAACTCGCCGACGCGGGCCTTACCATCGATATTTGGAAGTGCAAATTTTTAATACAAAAAACCAAATATTTCGGTTTAATTATTTTAATTACGGGAATTTGCATAAACGAAAAAAAGGTTAAAACAATTCGCTAATAGGAATAGCTTACAATTTTAAAGGAATTCTGCCGTTTTATAAGCTTTGCTAATTTTTATCGCCGGTTTATTAAAGGTTTTTCCGCTATCGCCAAACCTTTCCATTTATTAATAAACGAGCAGTTATAAATGCGCCAATGGCTTGCCGAAGCAACGGCAGCCTTTTACCAATTTAAAACCGCTTTTTTTTCGGACATTGTGCTTGCACATTACAACCCAACCCTTAAAACAATCGTAAAAACGAACGCTTCCGATTGGGCTACGGGCGGGGTGCTATCCCAAATAAATGCGCTTGGGGTACGCCGGCCCGTCGCTTTTTTTTTAGCCAAGCACTTACTAGCTAAATGCAATTACGAAATTTACGATAAGGAATTGCTTGCGATTATACGCGCTTTTAAAAAATGGAAACCGGAGCTTTAAAGGACCGAAACGCCAGTAAAAGTTTGGACAAACTATAAAAACTTACAGTTTTTCGTTACCACCAAACTGTTTAACCAGCGGCAAATACGTTAATCCGAATTCCTTAGCAATTTTAAATTTTAAATCGTGTACAAGCCAAAAAAAATAGCCATTGTGCCAAACGCCCTTTCCTAACCCCCCGGCGTTAAGCCAACGCTCCACGATATTGTTGCAAACGAGCGCGTTGCTAATAAGCATAAAATCCTTTTCCCTTTAAAACAATGGGCAAATAAAACGCCGGCGCAACTTTAATGTTTTTTTTTGTACTAGCTAAATATTTTCGAACTTATCGATGCGCTTATTAATAAAAATTACTTCGCGTTTAAGCTTTATTAAAACTTGTTACAATGCTTTGCCGACCCGAACATCCGCTATTTCCCAACGTTTTTGCGCAAAACGTTTAGGGTTGTTAAAACCAATTGCTAAACGATTCGGGGGCGCATTTACGTCGAAAAAAAGCTATTTATCCCTTTAAACGATGCCTTTCGATTGCAAATATTGCACAAAGTGCATAGCTTACCATTTGGCGGCTACGCAAAAAAAAGCAAAACATACGATTTGTTGCGAAAATTATATTTTTGGCCAAAACTTTCCCGGAACGTTAGCGTTTTTGTCCGGGGCTGCCATTTTTACAAAATGGTTAAAAAAGGAAAACATTTTTTTAGCGGGCTATTTTAGCCGTTGCCAATCCCGTTTAAACTATGGGCAAATTTGTTAATGGATTTTGTCGGCCCGTTACCGCCGTATAAACGCCGGGGTATTATTTATACCAATATTTTGGTAATAATGGATAAATTAACAAAAATAAGGCATTACATTTTAATAAATACCATCGACGCGGGCAGCTTAACAAACGCTTATTTATCGGTAGTGTACCGCTAATACGGTACCCCCAAAACCATCGTATCCGATAAAGGGCCTTAATTTGTATTTAACTTTTGGCGGAAATTGCAGCAACGTTTAAACGTTACCTTAAAAAAATCGTTGGCGTTTTATCCAAAATCCAACGGGCAAACGGAAGTCCTAAACGCGTATATAAAACAATATTTCCGTAGCTTTTGCTTTTACTATTAAAACGATTGGATTAATTGGCTTTTATTAGAAAAATTTGCTAGCAACAATTAAATATCGAAAACGACGGGAATTTTACCGTTTTTTGCTAATTACGGGTGGAACCTTTTTATAAAATCCGAACCAATTCCCCCCCCGAATACCAACGATACGCCGGCAAAGCAACGGGAAATTTACAATGCGTTTACGATAACCGATAAAATCCAAACAATCCTTAATTATATTAAAGCAATAGCAGCCGCAGCCCAAAAACGGTACGAAAAAACGGCCAACCGCTACCGAACCAACCCAAGCACGTTCGTTACAAAAAATTAAATTTAAATAAATACAAAAAACATAACATTTTTAAAGCCAACCTTTAAATTAAACGACAAATGGATTGGCCCGTTCCTTGTTACCAAAGTTTATAAACGAGTTTTAACCGTTAAACTCCCGCCCCAATACCGCTTGTTCCCCGTTTTCCACACTTCGTTAATCCAACGGGACCATCCGGAATTGCCGGAACAAAACGCTATTAACAAAAAATATAATTAGCGAACCACCGGCGTTTTTTTAACGAAAAGGGAAAATACCAATAACAATAACAAAAAATGGTTTTTTAACAAAATTCTCGATTTTAGGAAAACGCGGGAAAGCTTTTAGTACAAAGTTAAATGGCCCGCACTTTACGCCCCGATTTGGGAACCCTACCGCAACTTCGAAAAAGCAAACGACCGCATCCGGAACTTCCACCGTTCGCACCCAAACAAACCCGAACTACCGAACTAATAGTACGAACTAAAAGCGGCATAACCTATACAAAAAACAACGGGCCCGGCGTTCCGCTAGCGTTAAAAATAATAAATACCAAAACGCAAAGGCCGCCCAAAAAAAGCTTAATTGCTATTAATACAATCCTTTATCGGGACCTTGGTTTAAAAATAACGTGCCGCACACCGGCGATACGCAAGCGGTAAGCTAAAATTAACGCGGAAAAACGGCGCCATAACGCTAAACCATTATTGCGCGCCAAAACGCGCTAAAGCGCGCAAAAAACAAACATGCGCCCGGAAATACCCAAACGCCGCGCTAGCCAAACCTTAAAACCAAGCCAAAAAAAAAACGACCAAACGCCGCGCTTAAACATTATTATTTTTAAACCCCGAAAATTTATCTTCCAAAAACAACGATAAATCGTTAGCGGCCTGCTCGCCGCTACCCGCCTTTACCATAACAATTTCCTTTATTTCGCTTTCCGAAAACGATAACAACGACGAGTTGCTAACGGCTTGCCCGCCGCTACCCGCCCCCAAAAATAACGACGAAAAAAAAAATTACCCTTTTCCCGGTACATTTACCAATCCTTTTTAAAAAAAAAGGGATGGCCGGGAATTTATGCTAAGCAAAGGACATTATTTTAAGGAATTGGTTAAAGCAACCCCCCGTTACGAGCAAAAAATTCCGGCGCGCCGCTAAATATACGGTATTATTCCAATCGTTCCCGTCCTCGGCAATAGCCGCAAGCTATATAATATATACAATTTTGTAATATTCCTAAACATAAGCCTTTTTAGCGGCATGCCAAATCGTATGTTCCGGGTCGCCAAAAAAAAGCCGCACTTTCGCCCGGTCCTTTTAAGCCGGGAAACGAAAAAAATGGTAACGAAATTGGGTGCTAGCTAACGAAATGGCGATAGCGCGCCGCTAATACGCTAAAATAGCAAAAGGGGCGGGCTAAAGCTAACGTTAAAATTTTGTAAAAAAAAAATAAAAGCGAAACGCAAAAACGCTAGCGAAACGTTTATTTGGCGCCGGTTTTGGGGGCTATTTATGCAATAAAAGCGCCGTTTAACGGCGTTAGCGGCCTCGAAACCACGCATAAAATGGGTGCACATGCGCGCAGCACGCGCGCGAATGTCCGCCGACAAAATGTACACGTCCTTAGCAACGCCGGTAAAATCCAAAAGGACCGGCGTTCCGTCGTTAACACGAAAAAAGCCTTTGTAAGCGGCGGCCAAGCGCTTAAAATCGCAAAGGTCTTTTTTTATGTAAAAAAGCGGCTGCGAACCGGAACGTTAGCAATGCGCCGGCAAACTTTAATTAATAAAACGCACTTTGTTACAATTATCCTTTTAATCCTAACATTAATAATATCGAACGCTTAAATAAAGTTGCAACCCGTTACCGTCGCGCTAAGGCTTCGGACCCGGGCCCACGCGATAAAAACTTTAAACAAAATGCACCAAGCCCGGAATGTTATTTTTATGCTAATTAATTAGCGTACGGAACGTTAAAAAGCAAGTAACGGCGCGAAGCGGATAGCGCGCTATTGTGCCGGCGCGGATTTCGCGGGCGTTTATATTATTAATTGGTATAACGGAAAGGAGCGAAAAGGGAACGAAACGACAATAAAGATACAAAGCAACGATAGCGTTAAGCCGGCGGATTAAAAGATTGTAATGGTAAAAATGGTAATAGTGGTTAAAGGAAAAAGTTAAGCGGACGTAACGCGAGGCGGGGAAGGAATTAAAAGAACGGCGAAAAAACGCTAACGCAACGCGGGGACTCCGCTTTGGGAAGGCGGTAAGCGAGGCATTGCAAGCCCGTGCGCAAAAAAAAAAAAAAAAAAAAAAGCGCTCCAAGCAAACGAAGCTATGCACGCAACGCCACACCGGCGCAGGGCATTACGTTAGCGCAATTAAAACAACTGCGATTTTGTAGTAGGGTATTGTTACGGTACGCGTCGGGGCACCTGGGGAAGAACCTAAGGCCGCACTTTTAACGCGCCAACGTTACGCTTACAAAACCGCGACAAAACGCTAAGGACGCTTTGCCCAAATAGCTTCCTTTTCGTACAACAACAAAGCCTTTTTTATAACAATAAGGTGTAAGCCGTAGCATAACTTTGTAAAACGATAGCACACTTTTTTGCTTACGATCGACTAACGTTAATACTTACCCCAAATTTTACCGTATAACTTTGGAAAAATACTTTCATTTCTTCGATTTAGCTTTTTTAATTAAACGACCCGCTAGCGAATTACCGCCGCGATTACACCATGCTTACCGTACTTAACGCCCCCGAAGCGGGCCTTTTGGGCCCAATAATAACAATTTTACGAAACGCCGTTTTTTTATTCCTAACCTTGCATTTTATACGCGAAATAATTTAAAACGATTTTAGCGATTACGCCGTTTTATATTTTGCTTTGCATTTAAAACGTTTTAACAAAGCTTAAGCCCAATTTAAATATATTTTTTGGGTTATAAAAACCCGTTTTTAAGCCATTAACGAATTGTTAGCGATATACCGCCAAAACGCCGATACCGCTTACGTTATAATTTCGGACCAAAAAATAACGATTCGCAAATTTCGAATTTAAATCCAATAGCTATTTAGCTAAGCCATGCTTATACCAATTACAAATACGCCTTTTTTAGCGCAGCTTTTTAAGGCCGCCGCGTTATCGCTAGCAATCCGCCCCCGAACGGCCACTTTCGAAATTTTTAAAAGCATAAAGGTAAATTAAATCCAGCGATAAAAGTATTATACCAATTAGCGCTTTTTGCTTAAGGTACGAATAGGATTATACCGGGCCGCTTTCCCAACGTTACTAAAACGCGTTCTTTTTTTGTCCTAGCATTTGGGCAACGACGCTTTTGCTTTTATAAAAACGAAAATTAATTAAATTGTTACGGCCGGCGACAACGTTTTCCAATGGCCCGCCGGCTAAAGTAATTATTTAAACGTTATTAAAACGCTAAATTAAATTTACATTATTACCGATATATTAACAAAAGCTAATTGGAATTTCGAATTATTCGTTTAAAGCAATTCCTTTTTTAGCAATTTTATCGGCAATTTTATTAAGCTTAACGATATGTACAATTTGTTTAATAATTTACAAATATTAACTTTTAAATAAAAAGTAAACCGTTTATTGCATAAAGCCATTACGTTAATTGTAAAACGCCCGGGACCCGATAATTTCGAAGGGTAAGTAAGTTTGTTTCGGAACTTAGCCAACAATATTGCCAACGACATTTTCCGGGGCAAGCAAAACGCTAACGCTTATTTTTTAGCACGCTATCCCAACGCTAACGATGCGCCGGGACCGGCTTAGCATTTAAACGCTATGGATTTCGATAAAATTACGATAAAGCCCCAACCCCCTTTTATTAACGCCCGAAAAAAGTACAAACGCATTAATAATTTGTGTTTTTATTGCGGCGGGGCGGGGCACCAAATAACCGTTTGCACAAAAAAAAGGAAGTTAAAAAAATAAGCTTTAAGCATAATCGCTTTTAAAGCTATTAGCGTTTTGCCGATAACTTTTTAAAAAAACAAAAATGTATTTACATTTAATAAGACCCAATTTTACTTTTTTATTTTACAACGAGCTTTTTGCCGAAGGAACGTTACCGACCCGGTGCCGTACCCTTTTAAATACCGAATGTTTTTTATAAGCATTTATCGACGACATTTTTGCGCATAACCATAATTTGCTACGCTTTGCCCTGCCCAAGCCCATTTTTTTAAAGTTAGCTAATGGCAAAGTTACGGGCTATTTCCGCGAATGCGTTAAAATGCGCTACCGCATTGCTTGCTAAACAAAAACGCTTACCATGTACATTTAGCCATTAAGGACGGGAGGCTTTAATATTATACTAAAGCTTTTTTGGTTACGCTATTATAACCTTTATATTAATTAAATAGCGGGCTTAATAATTATGCACGGCATTACGTTATTAAAATTAAACCCGAACGCTAGCAACTTATTACGCAACCGTTTAAAAAACGACAATAACAAATTCGACCCCGCAAATATACGCATGCTTAGCGCTTTTAACTTTATGCTATTTTGCAAATAAAAAAGCGTGCAATTTAAACGAACAACCATAGCGAAACTTTACGCTAAAACTTGCCCCGAGCTTTTAATACTTTTAATAAGCGCTAACCAGTTCGCCAACGATACGCTAATGGAAATTTTCCGTTCCATTTTAACTTTATTCGATAAAATTTTTCGGGATATGCTGGAATTACGCTTAGCCGCATTCCAAAATTGGGTTAAAAAGGCACTACATTTCCGGCGCATTTTTAACGATAATATTTAAAAATACCTGGATAGCAAGCCCCCCGTTACGATAAAGGAGATTTTATAGCGCTTTTTTTACGAATTCCGCGATTTAACGTTATGCTTTTTTTTTTAAAACGCCGATAAGTTATTACCGCACCGCTTTTTTAACTACAAAATCGAGCTATTTCCAAGCAAAACGCCCTTTTACCATTATAACAAACCTATGTCCCAAAAAAAGCTTCGAATTGTTAAAAAGTATTTAAACGAATATTTGGCGAAAAGCTTTATACGCGACAGTATATTGCTAGCGGTTGCCCCGGTTTTTTTAGCAAAAAAGCCCGGGGGGGGAGTCCGCGTTTGTATTAATTACCGGGGTTTAAACAACGTTACCGTAAAAAATAGGTATTTTATCCCTTTAGTTAAAAAAATATTAAACGCTTTTTCGAAAGCTAAGTACTTTACTAAACTGGATATTATTGCGGCGTTTAATCGTTTACGAATTGCTTTAAAAAACGAATGGAAAATAGCGTTTATTACCAAATTCGGCTTTTTCGAATGTTTGGTAGCGAATTTCGGCATAATAAGCGCCCTTAATTCCTTTTAGTATTATATTAACCGCACTTTATTAAATGCATTAAACCGTTACGCTATAGCATACTTTAATAACGTCCTTATTTACAACAAAACGCGAGCGGAATACCGGCGCTACGTTTGCGTAATAATCCAAAAATTTGCCGATGCGGGCTTTACTATCGACATTTGGAAGTACGAATTTTTAGTACAAAAAACCAAATACTTCGGCCTAATTATTTTAATTACGGGAATCCGCATAAACGAAAAAAAGGTTAAAACAATCCGTTAATGGAAATAACTTATAACTTTAAAAAAATTCCGCCGTTTTATAAGCTTTGCCAATTTTTATCGCCGGTTTATTAAAGGTTTTTCCGTTATCGCCAAACCCTTTTACTTATTAATAAGCGAGCAGCTATGGGTGCGCCAATAGCTTGCCAAAATAACGGTAGCCTTTTATTAGCTTAAAACCGCTTTTTTTTCGAATATCGTGCTTGTACATTACAACCCAACCCTTAAAACAATCGTAAAAACGGACGTTTCCAATTGGGCTACAGGCGGGGTGCTATCCTAAATAAATGCGCTTAAAGTACGCCGGCCCGTTGCTTTCTTTTTAGCCAAGCATTTATTAGCTAAATGCAATTACAAAATTTACGATAAGGAATTGTTTGCGATTGTGCGCGCTTTTAAAAAATAAAAACCGGAATTTTAAAGGACCGAAACGTTAATAAAAGTTTGGACAAACCATAAAAACTTACAGTTTTTCGCTATTACCAAGCTGTTTAACCAGCGGCAAATACATTGGTTCGAATTTTTTAGCAATTTTAAATTCCAAATTGTATATAAGCTAAAAAAAATAGCCATTGTGCCAAACGCCTTTTCCCGACCCCCCGGCGTTAAACCGACGCTTTACGATATTACTGCAACCGAGCGCGTTGTTAATAAGCATAGGATTTTTTTCCTTTTAAAATGGTGGGCAAGCGAAACGCCGGCGCAATTTTAATGTTTTTTTTTGTACCAATTAAATATTTCCGAACCCATTAACGCGCTTATTAACAAAAGCTATTCCGCGTCCAAGCTTTATTAAAATTTGTTACAATATTTTACCGACCCGAATATCCGCCATTTCCCAACGTTTTTGCGCAAAACGTTTAAAGTTGTTAAAGCTAATTGCTAAGCGATTCGGGGGCGCATTTACGTCGAGGAAAGGTTATTTATCCCTTTAAACGATGCCTTTCGATTGCAAATATTGCATAAAGTGTATAATTTACCATTTAACGGTTACGCAGGAAAAAGCAAAACATACGATTTGTTGCGAAAATTATATTTTTGGCTAAAACTTTCCCGGAACGTTAGCGTTTTTATTCGGGGTTGCCATTTTTGCAAAATGGTTAAAAAAGGAAAACATTTTTTTAGCGGGCTATTTTAGCCGTTGCCAATCCCGTTTAAACCATGGGCAAATTTGTTAATGGATTTTATCGGCCCGTTATTACCGTATAAACGCCGGGGTATTATTTATACCAATATTTTAATAATAATGGATAAATTAACAAAAATAAAGCATTACATTCCAATGGATATTATCGATGCGGGCAGCTTAGCAAACGCTTACTTATCGGTAATGTACCGTTAATACGGTACCCCCGAAACCATCGTATCCGATAAAAAGCCCCAATTTGTATTTAATTTTTGGCGGGAATTGCAACGACGTTTAAGCGTTACTTTAAAAAAATTGTTAGCGTTTTACCCGAAGTTTAACGGGCAAACGGAAGTTTTAAACGCGTATATAAAGCAATATTTCCGCAGTTTTTGCTTTTATTATTAAAACGATTGGATTAATTAGCTTTTATTGGGAAAATTCGCTAGCAATAATTAAATATTGGAAACGACGGGAATTTTACCGTTTTTCGTTAATTACGGGTAAAACCTTTTTATAAGATTCGAACCAATTCTTCCTTTAAATACCGACGATACGCCGGTAAAGCAACGGGAAATCCATAATGCGTTTACGATAGCCGATAAAATTTAAATAATTTTTAATTATATTAAAGCAATAGCAACCGCAATTTAAAAACGGTACGAAAAAGCGGCTAACCGTTACCGAACTAACTTAAGCACGTTCGTTATAAAAAATCGAATTTGGGTAAATACAAAAAATATAACATTTTCGAAGCTAACCCTTAAGCTAAACGATAAATGGATTAGCCCGTTCTTTATTACCAAAGTTTACAAACGAATTTTAACCGTTAAATTTCCGCTTTAATACCGTTTATTCCCCGTTTTCCACATTTTGTTAATCCAGCGGGATTATCCGGAATTGCCGGGATAAAACGCTATTAATAAAGGATATAACTAACGAATTACCGGCGTTTTTTTAACGAAAAGGGAAAATACCGACGATAACAATAAAAAATGGGTTTTTAACAAAATTTTTAATTTTAAAAAAACGCGGGAAGGCTTTTAGTACAAAATTAAATGGCCCGCATTTTACGCCCCAACTTAAAAACCTTGCCGCAACTTCGAAAAGGCAAACGACCGTATCCGGGATTTTTACCGTTCGCACCTAAACAAACCCGAATTATTAAATTAATAGCACGAACCAAAAGCGGCACAATTTATATAAAAAACAACGGGCCCGGCGTTCCGTTAACGTTAAAAGCAATAAATACCAAAACGCAAAAGCCGTTTGAAAAAAGCTTAATTGCTATTAGCACAATTTTTTATCGGGATTTTGGTTTAAAAATAACGTGCCGCACGCCGGCGATACGCAAGCGGTAAGCCAAAATTAACGCGGAAAAACGGCGTTATAGCGCTAAACCATTGCCGCGCGCCGAAACGCGCTAAAGCGCGCAAAAAATAAACATGCGCCCGGAAATACCCGAACGCCGCGTTAGCTAAACTTTAAAACCAAACCAAAAAAAAACGACCAAACGCCGCGTTTAAACATTATTATTTTTAAACCTTAAAAATTTATTTTCCGAAAATAACGACGAATTGTTAACGGTTTATTTGCCGTTACCCGCTTTTATTACAACGACCTTTTTTATTTCGCTTTTTAAAAACGATAATAATAACGAATTGCTAACGGTTTGCCCGCCGCTACCTGCTTTCGAAAATAACAACGAAAAGGAAAAATTACCTTTTTCCCGGTACATTTACCAATCCTTTTCGGGGAAAAAGGGAATGGCCGGAAATTTATATTGGGCAAAGGATATTATTTTAAAAAATTGGTTAAAGCAACCCCCCGCTACAAGCAAAAAATTCCGGCGCGTCGCTAAATATGCGGTATTGTTTTAATCGTTCCCGTTTTCGGCAATAGCCGCAAATTATATAGCATATACGATTTCGTAGTATTTTTAAATATAAACCTTTTTAGCGGCATGCTAAATTGTATATTCCGGGTTGTTAAAAAAAAGCCGCACCTTTGCCCGGTCCTTTTAAACCGGAAAACGAAAAAAATGGTAGCAAAGCTAAATGCTAGCTAACGAAATAGCAATAACGCGCCGTTAATACGTTAAAACAACGAAAAGGGCGGGCTAAAACCAACGTTAAAACTTTATAAAAAAAAAACAAAGGCGGAACGCAAAAACGCTAGCAAAACGCTTATTTAACGCCGGTTTTAAAGGCCATTTATGCAATAAAAGCGCCGTTCGGCGGCGTTGGCGGTTTTAAAACCACGCATAAAATGGGTGCATATGCGCGCAGCACGCGCGCAAATATCCGCCGATAAAATGTACACGTCCTTAGCAACGCCGGCAAAATCTAAAAGGACCAGCGTTCCGTTGTCGATACGAAAAAAGCTTTTGTAAACGGCGGCTAAGCGTTTAAAATTGTAAAGGTTTTTTTTTATGTAAAGGAGCGATTGCGAACCGGAACGTTAGCAATGCGCCGGCGAACTTTAATTAACAAAACGTACTTTATTACAATTATCCTTTCGATTTTAACATTAATGGCATTAAACGCTTAAATAAAGTTACAACCCGTTATTATCGCGTTAAAGCTTTAAACCCGGGCTTACGCGATAAAGATTTTAAATAAAATGTATTAAGCCCGGAATGTTATTTTTGTATTAATTAATTAACGTACAAAGCGTCGGGAAATAAGTAACGGCGCGAAACGAATAACGCGCTACCGTACCGGCGCGGATTTCGCGGGCGTTTATATTATTAATTGGTATAACGGAAAAGAACGAAAAGGGAACGAAACGATAATAAGGATACGAAGCGACGATAGCGTTAAACCGGCGAATTAAAAGATTAGGGTTAGGGTTAGGGTTAGGGTTAGGGTTAGGGTTAGGGTTAGGGTTAGGGTTAGGGTTAGGGTTAGGGTTAGGGTTAGGGTTAGGGTTAGGGTTAGGGTTAGGGTTAGGGTTAGGGTTAGGGTTAGGGTTAGGGTTAGGGTTAGGGTTAGGGTTAGGGTTAGGGTAGGG